GTGTAGCCCTTTAGTCATGTACAAAAAAACAATTTAAGGTCAGATCGCCATACGCTTAAAAAAAATACCAAAAAGTAAGCAATTAAATAATTTTTTTGTACATAACTAAAGGGATACACACACCTTGGGGTAATTTAAAGTGTATTTTTCATATAAAACTAAAGGGATAAACGGGTATTGACTTTGGGTGCTGTGGTCTGACAGAACAGTGGCGCCCTTACCAAAAAATTATTTAAAAAAAAAGCTTTTTTTTTTTTACAATTATATTTTTTGCATTCATCAATATAATCATTGATAATAGTAAGACACAATCTCGTGACTTATCGTAAGGTTGGTTGAATGTTTAATTTTCACTTTTATAGGACCAAGATGATGTTTGCATGATGCTCATAGAATTACATTTCTTCACACAAAAACTGAAGGTCACTAAACTAAAACATACAGATTGTTATTCCACCTATGAGAATATATATTCATACACAACATTTCCCACAACAACTGAAACTACTGTTGTCAAGAGAATTCAAAGATCTGCCTAAACTTTTTATTTTGTTTTTTAATGCATGAATTTGTTATTTATTCATTTGGGCTTTTCTCTGATAGACTCTTGGCCGATTATTAACAGCAAACTAACTTGTCTAGTTATTATCAAGCACCAGGAGTTCAGCAGAATTACGAAAAGAAGTGAAAACAATCTTTTTTTTTTTTTTATTATTTCCAACAGTCCTGGGATGTCTTCTTCCGGAATGCCAATGCAGGAGTCCCGCCTGGTGCAGCCTACCAACGTCCCCCGGCGACCATTCCGTCCTCTGATGGGATGACCGTTGTCCAGGGACTGGTTGGAGCTCAACCCAATGTGGAGAAACTGGTGAAAGACCATCTAGCAGTGCAGTCACTGATTAGAGCCTATCAGGTAAACCTCGAACTCTTGTGTCTTTAAGCAGTTGTTTTCTCATCTAGTCGTAAGATTTTTTGAATGGTTGAGATCAACATAAGCTTCCATTTTAGGTTTACAGCTAATACTGCAAGAAAAGTACCAGTGTTTTATGTGTACTACAATATAATTACTAGTGTTGCACCAATGCCATTTTTGGCCCCAATACCCGATACCTGGCTGTGCAGTGTCAGTCGATACTGATTACAGCTGTTTGAAATTGATGTGTGTGTATATATGAAGAACTGCAAACTACTTGGATGTAAAATAATTGCCATCATGTCTTTGTCAAGCTGCTGCCTACCTTTGTGAAGCAGGAAAAAGACTAATACAAAGTGAATCCTGTAGAACTTTTTATTGCCTACCTGGAATGGGGGACAATAGTTAAATAAACTTTTGGATCTCAAAATGGTATCAGTGCCCTATTTGTTGGTACTCGCTGATACCGATACCACCATTTTAGTGCTGGATCGGGGCTCCGCCCGATTCTGGTATCTGTGCAAAACTAATCATAGCTCATTTTAAGGAAAAAGGTATAAAAATAAACACAAGCGGGTCTTTTTGCATTGGCTGCAGGGTTTCCGCTGCATGTAATTGATCACAGCGCAACACCACCCCTGCAAAATAAATGACGCCACAACTTCTGAATGAATAGAAATATGTTAAATTAATTTATGGCATGTAATACAGTATACTATATATTTGTTCACTTATTCTAATCATAATCAGAGTCAAAAGTGAATTAAAATATCATGAAATATTCAAATGTAACTAGCTAGTGTATAAAGTTAACTGGTAGCTAAAGTGGCCGCCCTATAGGGAAGGAAAACCAGACACAGCCCAGTGTTGCTAGGGTGATCAGCCGTCCTCTAAATGTCCTCTCTTTCCCGGACATGTCCTACTTTTTAGACCTAAGAAAAATTTCGGGGTGGAATTTTCAAAATCATCAGGGATTGTGGTCGACTACAGTGCAGGGCGTAGTTTAACACACCGGGCACTCGAACCGAGCTGCCCCACTTTTTCAGAAACCCAAATCTGGTCACCTTAAGTGTTGCCAACTTAGCGCCTTTGTCGTTATATTTGGAGACGTCTTTCAAACCTTTTAGAAACTTTTCAAAAAAGCAACTAGAGACAAATCTTTGACTTTTAACTGTATTTTGGTAAGTTTCACAACAGAGAGCAGCAGTGAGTCTGCCCCTGCTTCCCTCAGCGCTGTCTCACAGGCCGCTGTGTCGTCCTGAAAGCCTTGCATGCAGTTAGAGCAAACAGAGCAGAGTAAAGAGAGCTGCTCCATTTTCCCACAGCTAATGTTAAACACACGATGATTCCGCCCTCGATTACAAAGCAGGATATAAACATACTATAAACATAGCCTTAAATCAACTCTCTTCTTTTCTTTTCTAAAACTGTTGTATTAAAATAATTAGCTGATTAACACACAGCTTGAATCTGTTTTTTTAACAAGGTTTATACAATGTGGATTCAGGCAATGTAGAAAAATAATAATCATACATTACTGTATAAAGTAAGGTTAGTGTATGTGGCCCTTCAATGACATTGTAATGACTAACATAGTTAATTATGGGTTTTTCACCACGGTTAAATAAGCTGGTTTGTGGTCATTTAATGAGGTTAAAAGTTGCACAAAGGGCATTTTTTATCTGTGAACATATCAGACACAGAAAGTGTTCAGGTAGAAGCAGCTTGTTTAAAACCTTTTAACCCACTTGTGATATCAGGACAGTAAACACTGACGTGTGTGTTCCTATCAGAGTGACCTGCAGTAGAGTTTTTAGAAGGCCTAACCCGCCGGCTATCCTCGTTGACCTTTGCCCTCCTGTCTGTAGGTACGAGGCCACCACATAGCCAAGCTGGACCCCCTCGGGATCAGCTGTGTGGACTTTGATGATGCTCCGTGTACCGTTGGTTTTCAAAATGTCGGTGAGGAAAGCAACCCTGCACCTGCATCATTTTACATTTCTCTCTCATTCTATGTAATGAATGCGTGTTTCAGCCTTATATTTAAAGTTGTAGGGAAGTCATATTTAAAAGTCAAAACATTGATGTATATAAATGTACCGTAATCTTCGGACTATAAGCTGCGACTTTTTCCCCATTTCTCGACCTTGCGGCTTCTATAACAATGTGGCTTATCTATGGACTGTTACAGCTAACGGCCACTAGGGTAATACCTAAATCTATGGATTTTACCATCCACCATGTTGACGTCACATTTGCTTCAACACCCCATGGTCCTTCTTAAGCAGACTTCTACCGCGAGTGGTACGAGACAGAACAACAGCGAGAAAGATGGACGTTAAAGATAAAAAAGCTGCGGCTTATAGTGCGGTGCGGCTTGTATATGTACAAATCATGTAATTTAGGCCCCGTCCACACGAAGCCAACCCCTGGCCTAAACGCACAAATTTTTC